AATGATTAAACCAGAGCCAGAGGAGGTACAGAAGACACCCGATACCCTCAACAACCCAACACATATGTAACCCAGGTTACCAGTAGCATGTACCATTACAAGCTGTACACTCACTACTTTACATTGTAGCAAAGTGTCATAGGCAAGGGCAATGACTGTAACATACCCAGATAGCACACGTACGTCGCGGAGACGTCTGCTAAAGAGCGTATCATCTGGTAAACATCGGCTTCTTTTTTTATAGTCGTATTTTGATCGTCTGTAGATCGGCCGTTTGAGCTGTTAAATAAGACGTCTTCCCTACCTCTAAATGACATCTATACGACGTATCTTTATCACCCGAAATATGCCGGTATGTGCGTCAGGACGGGAAGCTGCAGACCACCTGCTATACTTGATTAATTTAAAGGGAAATACGTGAAGAAATAAAGATTATTTAAAATCCATATTCTGTGATATTTGCTTTTCTTTCTACAAGAACGTATAGCATGTTTAAAAGCAAACATCGCATTATTTTGTAGATCGACTTTGCATCAATGGATCCATAGTCCCTGTCCCATTTTTGTCTTATATTATATTAATATTTACAAGGAAGCACCAACACTTTGTTTTTCTTTACTTATGCACATAATAACACTGTGTGCTTTATATGGACATTCATTTCTCTAAATGACCAGGCAAAAGGTGACTTACGATCTTCTTTACTGGAAACAAATGAGAACAAAAAAAACAATACAAAAAGAAAAAAAGGACGTTTTTAACCACGTAATCCATCATGCACTTTTAAATCTGTTTGTCCAACTATCCCTGTTAGTTTGATCTCTCTGTAAGAGATAAACATGCATATACAAGTTATTTTGCAGAGAGCATATTAGATCCTTGACTACTTATAAGTTTTAAGTGTTCAACATTACAAGCTTGGTGTTACATCCATATATGTCCTTGTGGGAGTGCCTGTGTTTTTTTTTCTCGCGCTCGCTCTCGCTCTCTCTCTCTTTCTCTCTCCCCTTTCTATTTTGTAGTTATATGGATTCTTTTCACCTTGTATAATAAATCACTTCGTTGGCAGTTTGTGTCCCTGCATTGTCTCTTGCTGCCTCCATCAAGTCTACAGATTTGCCACAAATTTAATGTTACTCCTTTTACCCCTAGACCATCTTAAAGGGTCGTAACATTTAATGGGGGCTCGTCCGGGATAAATTAATCCCCAAAATTATGGTAATTGTGGTAATTCTGTAGATGTGTTGGTTGCAAGGAATGGATATTGCATTGTTTGGGGTATTGTGACAGTATAGGACTTACTCATGCGGTGTAGTAGTGTTATTCTTATTGGTTGGTTATTTATTATGGAAGTGTTTAACTTGCAAGATTTTGTTACCAGTCCATCTGTAGAGCAGATTAATTTGTGCAGGAAGCAGGATTTATTGCAGATCGCAGACCATTTTCAGGTTATTGTAAGTAAACAGGCTCTTAAAAAAGAAATAAAACGAATACTGATCTTGCGTTTGAATGAGTTGCAGGTGTGGCCTACGTCAAACGTTGGGGGTGGTGAAACGGGCGGAGTTGTTGATATGGATGGCGTGGCTCTGGCGCAATTCAGTTCTGGGGAGGAGGACAAGCGGAGTGGCGGAGCTGATGCTGACGTGGAGGCGGAGGCCGAAGCAAAGGCCGGTTTACCACCGTTTGAGCCGTTTTCACCCAGTTCTGTTGATTCACGGGAAGGCACACGACTGAAGGTCCGCCTGGCCCGTTTGCATTATGAAGCGCATGAGAGAGCCCAGGCGCGCCAAGCTGAACTGAATTTGCAGTTGGAAGTACGCAAGCTGGAAATCGAGGCAGATAAGCAGGTGAAGCTGAGGCAGCTTGAGCTAAGTGCATCAAAAGTTGCTACTAGCTCAGCTGTACAGCCGGACACCGCTCACGCCTCTTCTCCTTCTCCGCGGGTTGGTTTAGCCCCAGAGGCTTTTGACGTGAGTAGACACATTGCACTCGTTCCTCAATTTAGAGAAACAGAAGTGGATACTTACTTTAGTGCGTTTGAATGCAACTTCTCTTCATTGGCCTAAGGAGGTCTGGTCTTTGCTTTTGCAATGTAGATTATTTGGTAAAGCGCAAGAAGTTTGTTCTACATTATCGCTAGAAGAGAGTCTGAAATATGAGTCTGTGAAGTCTGCTATCCTGATGGCGTTGCTCTTTGAGCTTTGATGAGCTTATGCTCTATTACGTTTACTCTTTACTCAAGAGGGAGGTGGATAGGGAAGATGTCGTGCGACTTCCATTGTGCAACATTTAGGTAACTTGATATGTTTAGACAACATAGGTAAGAGGTGAACGCCACCCCCTGTAAGTTTCATTATTAGTTGAGAGTAGGGAAGTATATGGCGCTTGGCACTGAAGATTTGTTTTTTTTTCTTTCTTTCTTTTCTTTAGTTAGGTTAGAGGTTTAAAATAAGTTAAAGAAACACAACAAAACCACTTCTCTTTCTTTTGGCGTCACTAGCGTCCCCTTTCTCTTGGGTTGATTTGTTTGTTTGTTTCCCTTTTTCCTGAGTTGTAAATATTTGTACATATGGGTTGTCTCTTTAAATGATTTATATTTTGTAGTTATATGGATTCTTTTCACCTTGTATAATAAATCACTTAGTTGGCGGTTTGTGTCCCTGCATTGTCTCTTGCTGCCTCCATCAAGTCTACAGATTTGCCACAAATTTAATGTTACTCCTTTTACCCCTAGACCATCTTAAAGGGTCGTAACACTTGGTGATTGGATTAACGAGTAAATGTACACACATATATATACATATATTTGATGTTGAGCAAGTTACTCCAAAGAAAGTAATTATGATTACAAGTTATTTTGTATTTCAACAGTGTAATGACATTTCTGTACTAATTAAAAATATTGCATTACTTAATGTTTCAAATCATAATGCATAAATTATTCTTGGACTGACAAAAACACATTTTAATGTTAAACTTGAGACGTGTTTGTTAAATTGACTATTGTTTTACACAGAAATGTTCTATAGTCTATACAGTATTTAATGCAATTACTGTACATCCTGCCTGTAATTAAATTACAGAATAATTAAGAGCAATCACTTACCTTTTCAAGGTAAAATTAAATGTACTACTCAATAATTAATCACACCCAACGCTTACCTTTCTATATAACTATACAGCCTCCTGCAAAGTTCAGCTCCAGCCCATCTCAAACACTACTGAACCAGCTATTTATGATCTTCAGGAGCACTGGTTAATTACAGACAGGGCTGCAGGATCAGTGTTGAATTTGAACAGAATTGATCACACCTGATCATTAGAATTAAGGGGTGATTTATGGCTTCAGTTCATGTAGTTCTTTACCTCCACGGCATACATTAAAATTGTGTAATGTACACCCAGCCATGGCTTACCTCACATATTACATTTACTATTTTGTTTAAAAGCACCATAAAAAAAAATGCTTTCAATATCTATTGAGAATGGTTACAAAGACTATAATTTTTAGATATTTAACTATATAAGGTAGAAACCTCTGGAGGAAACAGACTACACAAATGTTAATCTGACCAGAGGTTATGCAGCCTCACAACATTAACGACACTGAATAATTTGTTCTTTCCCAGTTAAATTTATTAAACCGTTTTAAACCTAGGTGAATCCACGTCAATACAGCATTTCAATGAAGTAAGGTGATGACACTGAACACCTGCTCATCATATTACTGCACAAGACCCAGAGCTGACCGTGAGAGCTTACACTTTAGACGTGTTCGACTTGAAGCGGCACTGTGCAGACTGATTGAAGTATGACGAAGTATCGTGAGAGCGATTCAAAAGCATAAGAAGCTGTCTTGCTCTCGCGGTACTTGTATGTCATACTTCGATCGGTCTGCGCAGCACCGCTTCAAGTCAAACACACCTATTTTCTCTTCTAGGGAAAGATTAAGTGAATTTGCTTTTAAATCATAAACTTAAGATATAATCAAATAATACAAATATTAAGGACATATTTTAACTGAATGCACAAAGGTAGGAGAGATCATGCTACATTGTGAACAGTATTCAGGGAAATCAGGGAAACTGTTAGGCAAGAATAAATTATTTGAGCTTGATATTGTGTAGCGATTGTTGTGAATGGCATATCTCTAACAGAACAGAAATCCATAATATTGGCAGTAGGCAGGGTGCAGACACTGGTGATGGACTGTGATGAGACACAGGTGTGGGAATGATCGTGGACCAGAGGTGGATTTGGGAGATCACAGGCTGGTCTGTCCTAAGGTATTGGGTGAAGAAAAAGAAACAGAGTAAGAGCATTTTATGTAACAATGTACACAAAAAGAGCATCACATCATATTTATATGAAATCGACTTGATAGATCCCCAAAAATGGTGCAGTTTTGGGCACCACTGATTTCCATAGTAGGGAAAAAAATTATATGGGGAGAAAAATACTATGGAACTTCTTGGTTACAAACATTCTTTAAAATATCTTCCTCTGTGTTCACCAGAACAAAGAAACTCATATAGGTTTGGAACAACATGAGGGTGAGTAAATGACTAAAACTTTAATCAGTGACACCGATGTACATTATAAAACATTATGTTAAAAAATATTATGTTTTTACAATACTGTATCATTGTTTTTTGTTGTAATATTGTTTTTTGCCTTTTTTCAATTTATAAAATTATTGTCATTGTGTGAGTATTGTCAGTGTTTTAAAAATAAAACATACATAGAATTCAATGTACAAATTAAACAGTGATTGTTAATAAAACTACTAAAAATTCTAAAGCAAAGAGTGATTTTCTATATTGTGTTGCTGGATTAACAATGACACAGATGATAACCTTTCATGATGGAGAAGTTTAATTGAACCTTTCAATGTTTATATGAAAAATTCATTTGAAATAATGTCAAATGTGGAGAAGACGAAGGAGATTGTTGTTGACTTCAGGAGAGTGCGCACTCAGCATGCTCCTCTGTCCGTCAAGCATTTGTCAATCAGCAACAAAGGGACATGGAAGACCAACAGCAGAACTGGTGTGAGAGTCTCCCCAGCTTTCAAGGTAAATAATTAGTTGTATTTGGCTAGCTGGAAAGCTAAATGAAGATCAACATTTGATGCAATTAACGGGTTAGTTCATTCATAGAAACCTCTGTGAATTACTCATGACATTCTCAACCCACAAACTTTATTTTCAAAACACAAATGAAGATGTCTTCAATGAACACAGGGATTTCTGTTCCTACATTTCCATAGTCTATACAGAGATTGTAGAAGTAACCGATACAATATGAGTGGTATAATTCCAATCTTCTGAAGAGTCATAATCACTTTATATGATAAACACATTTTTTATTTGTATACAACTGTCCCTTTAAGATTGTGAACCGTCATTAACGGACTTAAACTGCTTGGTTCATATGCATTACTTTTACAATTATGATATTATCATTTTGAAGAATGCAAGTTATGGGGAAATGCCCTGTCAATGGAGGAACATAAATCTCACAATTACACAAATTATAAGTGCAACTTACCTACTCCACCTTTCTCAGCTCCACTGCGTGTGTCTCAGCCAGACCATCACGGAGACGGCTGGTGTGTTGATCAACCTAACACACAAGGTAAAAGAGCATAATCAGGGATCAAGGAAATCTGAAACATTCACAGCATTTAAATAAATCTTAAAAACTGAACAACATTTTGTGTTCAATCCATAGAGCACACCTTCGCTGTCCTGAGACCCTCAGGGGACCACCAAGGAAGAGCCCAGAGTAAGTTAATGGCACATAAATCCACTTAAGTAATTTTTAAAATTTGAAACCCTTCACAGATCCTTCTATTATTTTAAATAAAAGGAGTGGCTCATTTTTTTTTACCATTATTGGGCCCTCTATACACACACTGCAGACACAAAAGTTTTCAAAGTAACAAAGTAAATGTGAATTTTGTGGCATTAACGTGACATGACAGATCACAGTTCAAACTGCAATTGCAATGTATCAATGTACATTAAAATAACTGCAAAGTTATTTTTGGATAAGAAAAAGTAGAAATCGCATCATATGACCCCTTTAAGGCCATTTGTGC